TTTCTTTCTTTCTTTCTTTCTTTCTTTCTTTCTTTCCTTCTTTCTTTCTTTCTTTCTTTCTTCTTTCTTTCTCCCTTCTTTCTTTCTCTCTCTCTGTTTTTCTCTCTCTTTCCTTCTTTCTCTCTCTCTTTCCTTCTTTCTCTCTCTCTTTCCTTCTTTCTTTCTCAGCACCCCACCCCCCATTTTTGGCCTAGCAGACTTCAAGAAGCTGCTGGGAGCAAAAACAGACACCCACCCCCCATGTTTGGCTTAGCAATCCTCAGAGAAGCCTGCTGGGAGCAAAAACGGACACACCCCATGTTTTTGGCTGTGTGATGTGCAGTCATTGGAACTTTTTTTTTAAACTCTTTTTAGTATTTTTTACTACCAGTTCTGCAAACCAGTAGCATTTTTTACTACTGGTTTGGGTGAACTGGCCTGAACTGGTAGAATTGCACCCCTAAATCTCACCCAGGGATGTCACCTAGCAGGTGAGAAAGGATCAAGCCCTATTGGACCCCAAAGCTGAGGGCCCTAGAGCCTCTCCCGCCTCCATTAGCAACATAATTAGGCTATTACTCTCAATTGATGGATCTCATGAGTCGTCCTTAATTTATTAACTATTTGGTGAGGCTACATCTCCCACCCCGGTCATTGGACTATTGTTTATGGTCAAACAAAGGTAGGTGGTATCATTTTCATTATATGTGAAAAGGAATTTTGACAAAAATGAAAGTTTTCTTTTTCAAAATTGTTCCGATTCTTAAAATTTTATAACACTTTAATGTAATTCAATTTCCCAACTAAACTGCTATTAAATAAAGTCTTCAATTAACTATCATCTAGAATAGATGTGTAATTGGCGCCTTAATCATAAATTAATAATAGAAACTACCAAGTTCATAAACACAAATTTGTTTCTCTTAATTATGAAAAGAAAAACAAATATAATGATGTTAAAATTATGCCACAACTTCATAAACCACGTTGTAGTATGTGAAATACAGTAAAAACAATTCATTTCCAAATTAATTCTGCAAGAATCAATTTGCTAGTAATTATACCCATAAGATACTGTCTGAAATAGTAAGGGATTAAAATCCATGGTAAAAAGAGAAAAGTTATTCTACAGGTAGTCATCAATCTATAATCACAATTGGACCAGACTTTCCGTTGCTAAGCAACGCAATTGTTAAAAGCCCAATTTTGCAACCTTTTTGACATGGTTCATTACAGTTGTTTAAGTGAATCCATTTATTTTTCTTTTCAGAGGCCAGCTAGGAACATCACAAATGGTGATCACATGACCCCAAGACACTGCAAAGAAACTCGTAAATACGGGCTGGTTACCAAGTACCCAATTTTTATCATATGACCACGGGGAGGTTGTGACGCTTGTAAGTGCAAGGACAAATGATAAATCACTTTCTTCATTGCCTTTATAATTTTGAATGGTTGCTAAATGAATGGTCATAGGTCAAGGACTACCTATATTCAGTTTCTAGAAGGTTTTATTTTAGTTTATTTTTTATTGGAATATTCAACTATCCAAACTTTATTTCAAATATACCACTTACATCTAGCCATTTGTCCACGGTACTGTCCATCTCAGTTTTTATCATCCGAGCATCACAGTTTGGTATCTTTTTCAGTTCTGCAGTGAGGTGCTTTCCTTTGTTAGTGAAGGTGTCCAGTTCAGTCTGTCTATCATTCAGCTCATTCCTGGCTGCTTCATGCTACAAACAGGAACGTATTACTGTTAACCACAGAATAAATAGACTCACCATCCACCCTCCTTAATTTATTTTAGACTGCAATCCTTTATTGCAGTGGTAGGGCTGGAGTCCCCCACATGAATGTGTGTGGCATGCGCGCACACACACGCAGCATGCACATGCGTCTTACCATCCAGTAATGCCTCCGCAAGCCTCCGCAACGCTCCAGCTGCTTGGTAAAGCATTGGGCAGGCGCTCTACGCACCGTATGCGTAAGCCGAAGAGTTTAAAGACAGGTAAGGAGCGTGGGTGGGCGGGTGGGCCCTCCAGAGCACTGTACCAGAATGGTACTCAGTGCTCCGGACAGCTTCTGGTACAACCGTACAGGGACGTACCGCCTGCAACCCATCACTGCTTTATTGGAAAAATAAAATCACCCCTGCATACTGCAGAGGCACTACATATTTAGAACAAGCCATAAAATTCCAAGTCCATCTTAGCTCACTCACTCACTGCTCAAGAATTATTGTTAATGTTGGCCTGTAACTACCATTGTAACTTTCAATAACCACTGAGTATGGCATCATACAGAACTGGCTATAAGCCTTGAGCATTGTAGCAGTGGTGGGTTTCAAATTTTTTTAGAACCTCTTCTGTAGGTGTGGCCTGCGTTGTGGGAGTGGCTTGCCAGGCATGTGACCAGGTGGGAATGTGACTGAGTGGGAGTAGCTTGGCAGTCATATTACTGGGTGGGCGTGGCTAACTTATAAAATGTGATGAAACTCACTTAACAACGCTCTTGCTTAGCAACCAAAATGTTGGCTCAAAACTCTGGCATTTGAAGCATNGCCGGTGAGATTAGAACCGCTGAACTGCAGATAACAGTCAGCTGAAGTGGCCTGCAGTACTGCACCCTAACCACTGCGCCACCTCGGCTCTTAAGGTGGGTGCTCTTCATTAAGATAGAGATATACTAAAAGCAAATCTAACTAACTAGGTTACGCATGCTTTTAAAATTATTACGTAGATATGCTTTGAATTTTGCATGAGCCCAGCACCTCCCTGCAATTTAAGAAAAAAATGTTTTTTTTTCTAAATTTCCACACAAGTCTGAAAAACCGTGATTGCTTTAAGAATTATGTTATTAAAATGATAGTTTCCTTTTTCAGTCTCACACAAAGGCAAAATGTCCAAGTCATTTTCAAAACATGTTATTATATAGTGATGGCTATTCCTCAGCTATGCTATCTGAGTAACTGAACGAGCACCATTATTCTATCTCACTGCAATAAAAAAATATGCATATAGTAAGTTTATTGCTGAGCAAGGAATTGAATCCCTATTTCCTAAGCTTTAATCTATTTGGGCTTTTCCTCAACTGCTGGTCCAGATATGTTGTATCACAAATAGCATTTAGCAATAGCAATAGTCCCTAGATTTATATACTGCTTCACATCTCTCTCTAAGTGATTTATAGAGTCAGCCTATTGCCCCCAACAGTCTGGCTTCTCATTTTACTGACTTCAGAAGGATGGAAGGCTGAGTCAGTCTTGAGCTGATGAGAATAGTACTACTGGCATCAGTAGAATTAACCTGCAATACTGCATTGTAACCACTACACCACCACATCTCTTTAAATGTGAATACTACCAACCAATATTACTAAACTACAAGTTCTGTCATGTTCAGTCATTGTGTGATCAATGACCTTTCTGAGGATTATAAGAGAAGGGTGTTCAGATCAGTATTCTGCATTGCGTTCTCAGTCTCCATTAGAGTTCAGACTCAGATGCATTTGATGTTATAAAATTTGAGGGATAAATTAAAATTTGTTTGCGTTATCCTCTAGAACAGTGGTCCCCAACCCCCGGTCTGCGGACCGATGCCGGGCCGTGGAGTANTTCCCGTACCTTTCTCCTACTCCTACTCTTCCTCTTCCCCTTTCTACCCTCTCTCCTACTCTTAATTCCCCTCCCTTACTTCCTCTGCTTTTACCCTTTCTTCCTTTCCCTCCCCGTCCTTCCTCCTTTCCGTTGCTGTCCTTGCTTATGGGTTCCCCGGGGTGGCATTTCAGCAATCCCAACTTTATATTTTCATACAAAATAATGTATGTTCTCTGTTACATTTTACTTCTGATAATAATTCCACTTGTATCGTGTTTTTTTTTGACTTGCATACTTGCATTTTAATACTTTCCTGTTAAAAGGAAAGCCAATTTTCACAGTCTATTTTTGCGGAGACACTTGGGGGAAAAAAATCTGGCTCCGGCAATTCTTCCATTCCTGGGCATCCTGTCTGGCCAGGCCAGCCTAGGGCAGAGTCCCCTTCCATGCCCCAAATCACTGTTCCCCACCTGGCAGCCAGGTTTTTTTCTGCTCCATGCAACTGATGCCATCTGTTCACAGAAGGCCACGCCGAGCGATTTAACCTGCGATAGTGCAGCACACACCGCCTTCCTTCGACAAACTTTCCTTTCTTCCTCTGGCATTCACCCTTTCCCTCCTGTGTTTGCTTTCCCTGGCTTCCCCCACCCCCTTTGGAACCCCCCCCCCACAATTTTTCGGTCCCTCTATTAAAAGCGACTATTAAAAGCAACCGTCAAACATGGCAAAAGACTTTGGAATCACGAGGGACACTTTGTTGTCACAGCTGAGCTTGGGAAGAGGAGGAGGTGGGGGGGGAATTAAAATAAATTAAAAGCTGCCAACATTTTTGATCTTAGGAAATTGGGCGGCCTGAGCGGACCAGGGTCAGACAAACAACACGAATTCTCTTGCAATTGGCACATTTCTCGGGCGAAAAAGTGTGCAGCTTCCGTTCTGGGCATTCCAGGCTGAAAAAAGAAAAATCAAAGCAGAATTACCTCTAAGTTGCAGAGAGCTACGGCAGGAAGCATGCAAACAGGCATTCGAGAGACTTCCCAGCAAAAATAGCCGTGGAAACTTGTCAGAAAAGGAATCGGATATTCGGAATCGGGGGCCGCAACAAAAAAAAATACAGAAAATAAATTTGGATCCCAATCAAGATAACCAAGAGACCTTATTCTCAAGCAACATTTACTGCAGAGGAAGTCCTCGGCTTACGACCAGAATGGAGCCCCAACATTTCCGTTCTTAAGCCAGACTGTGGTTCAAGTTTGATTTTTGCTCCCTCTTTACGTTGTTAAGCAAATTGCTGCGTTCGTTAAATTAGACACGCGGGTTGTTAAGCGAATCCAGCTTCCCCATCAACTTCGCCTGTCAGGAGGTCGCAAACAGGGGCATCACATGACCCCTGCGACTGTCATAAATATGAGTCGGTTGCCGAGGGGCTGAATTTTGATCACCCGACCATGGGGATGCTGCAACAATGTGAAAAAGAGACCAAAGTCATTTTTTTTCAGTGGTGTTTCAACTTCAAACAGTCACTAAACAGACTGTGGTAAGTTCCAACTGTGTTATTCTCTACCTGTACAGAATAACAAAGCGTTGGAAGGGACCCTGAAGGTCTTCTAGTCCAACCCCCTGCTTCAGCAGGAGAGCTTATCCCAATCCGCACCAATGGCCGCGAGGATGCTACCAAGGTCATAACCGTGGAAAACAGTCCCAAGTCCCTTTTTTCATTGCCGTCGTAACTTTGAAATGGTCCCCTAAGTGGACGGTTGTAAGTCACCTGTATTTCTACCCAAAATTGGGCAGCCTTCTCATCTGCGAGCCTGTGGAGACAACAGAGGCAGGGAAAAAATCTCGCGCCTTTTTTCTCCTGGATCTTGGGGTGCTGGGGAGACATGTTGGGGCACCATCGGGAGATTGCAACCGGGGTATTTTGAGATCCGAAACCCTCCCCTTTGTCACCTGGTTGCATTCGAACAAAATGTTGTGGCCCGCCAGCAGCCAGTGGAGCTGGTGGCAGACTCAAAGAGTGGGAAGCTTGGGGAGGAACATGGGCCAGTCTTGGAGTCTGGGGAAGGCTCAGAGGAGGGCTCTGCATTGGAAGCAGAGTGGGGGCTCGGACCATCTGGGGGATAAGTGCTGCCTTCGTAGTCGGAGATCAGTGGGGCAGAAGAACAGTTGGAGCCTGTTCCCAGGGTGTGCATGCACAGAGCTGCCAGGACAAGGGAACAGCTAAGGAACAAGAGTTGAACTCGTGAGTAAAGGCACAGGTGGACGGTGAATGGCCCCTCCCAAAGGGAATAAAAGAGGAACGAAAGGGGAGTGGAGTTTGCAGGAGACAATGAGTTCAATTTGTTAGGGTGAAGATCTGTTCCTGATTTCTTGCCAAGGAATTGCTGCTACAGCTTGGAGTTTTGAAGATATCAGCCTGGCAGCTCTCCAAGCCTGATCTAGGTCTTGTGGTTGTAAATTCACCCTCGAAAGACTGTTTGCCGGGACTTTGGTAGATGTGAATGAGAGGAATTCACATGAGCTTCGTAAAAAAGGGTTTGGTCAAGACCAGGAGTCTGCTTCGTGATTTTGGGAAGCCTAAGTCTGAACACACGGCTTACAAAAACCTCTCCCCGTCCCAAGCTGTCAACTGATGGTGTCTTTTTTTTCCCCCTTCCAGGAAATGCTCACAGATTCCGAGACGGGCCTGCAGGACGGCTGCGTTAAAAAGGTAAGATCGAAAAACTCAGATTTGCTTTGCAAAGCTGTGTGATTTTAGTCTTCAGTTCCGGTGGAAATTCAAATTTATTTTATTTTATTTAAAATCGCTTTCATTGCAAGCCCGCTGATGGGCTGCCTCCTTTCCGGCTTAGCGATAGCTGAATTTCGGCTGAACTTACTGTTATTTATTTCTTAAGTTTATTATACCATCATCTCCAGGAGTGGTATTCACTTATTTTCCCTACCGCTTCACAAATGTGAGCGTGCACATCCGCGCATGCGATTCGGCTTGAAAACATGCCCAAATAGGATGGCACAGATCTGGAGCCGGTGGACGGGCCACCCACCGCAATCTCCAGGACCGGTTCGGACAAACCGGTTCGAACCGGCTGAATACCACTTCTGGCCATCTCACCGTTTGCAGCAACTTTATGGAGT